AGATCGATAAGCTGGACTGAGGGGCTGCGCGGTCCTCTGGATCTATCAGTTCGGTTAATTTCCTGAGGCCAGGAACAAAGGTCTCGGAAAAATCGTAGGGACACCCCCGGTATAGGTAGTAGGGAGCTTAGACACCGTATTCCCGAATTTGGTAGTGGTGATGGTGTATTGATTGAGTGAATTCGTGCCGGTGTTTGGGTGATACGCCGAGGCCGAGTACCGGGATTGTATTCGGCACTGGAGACAGGATAGAGAACAGTGTTTGAGCCCGCGATAGGAATATCCAGGATTGTAAACTGGTTCGAGATTCAAGGGTCGAGAAGCCCTCTGCTGTGACTCTTGTGAAAGACTAGAGATCGGGCATGCCCAAGCGTGATATTCATGATGAACCGTCTCATAGACTTTGTGGTTCATGAACCAAATTCGGATACAACCCAGGGGTGAGTTGGAGAGGGGGAAAGGGTCATTACCAGGAGAATTATGTGATGTCAATTAATTAATTAATCGGGGGGTTTTTTTTGCGCAGCACACCCAAGTAAGTGCATACCAGTGCTGTGCTGTCCTATCCTGTACAGTACACACCCTCGAGCTCAGCACGTTGCACTTTAGCAAACTCGACCAGGACAACGATCGCTCACGTAAAGTCACTCGTGCCAACAATCCCCCAGCCGTCGGATAACTCGATCATCCAACCTACCACAATGGCATCAAACAGGCGTCAACACCAGTATGTCATAGCATGACACCTATAAGAGAGCTTTCACCTATTTAATGGGCCCGTTTCCCTCTTAAAAAGTCAAGTAAGTCACTTCTCTGATTCGTATCCGTAAAGCACTGTCTCCTGTTTATGATACCGTAAAAACTCGAATAGAAGAAACATGTGCTAGGACGTTGGATTTCCCCTCCCCAGCTAGGCGAGGGGAAAATACTGCAAACTCAGCCCTCAGCTGAGACAAAAGAAAAGGAATATACACAGTGCCATACTAGGAGAGGCAGGTACAACGTCGTAGCACATGTTTCTTCTATTCGATTTTTTACTGTACCTCAATCTAAGGTATGATCATGGCGCCAAAAGCCATCAGTAGCTCACCTGAATTTCCTCCCGTGCAACCACCGTGTCTTCAATCCCCCCACCGCCACGGTATGTTCGCCATAGATATGTTGGGGATATATCTCGATAGCATGGAACGAAAGGTGTCTTGATCGAGCCAAAGAAAAAGCCGGGTATTCCTCCGCACCAGAGACCTAGTTCATCACAAGACCTCAATCCCATCGAGAACGTGCGGCATGCGTCTGGCCGCGCAAGGGGAATGGGATAAACTAGAACTCACGAACTGGAACTTGCTTCTTCATACCATGCCGGATAAATTCCAGGAGTGTAGAGATTGAAATGGCCTGCAGACCTGGTATTAATTCCTACACTACCCATTCTCTCCATCGCATTCAGAAGGGCGCCCTTTTGTCGCAGTTTCTGAGAACGGGAGTGTTTTGTGGTTGGCGTTGCTATTCTACCCGTGGCTTCCGACCCCCAGACCGGACCATACCAGACCAAAACGCTTGGTCAGACACCAGTTTTTGCACCAAATCTGGTTGAAAACCGCCATTTTCAATGTGGCAACCCCTAACACTACCTTGTTGAAAAAAATTGGGTTTTGACGTTAACTAGAAAACTACTTTGTGCTAGATAGATACGTTGAGAGCATAGATAGATAGAACGGAGCAGAGTCGGGGTTATTATTTTCAGTGGTATCAACTAGCGTAAAAGTGACAAAATGTCGCATGGGGCTCTATATAAAAGAGCGCGATACACGGCCACCGTATACCTCCCACCTGACCAACACGGAATTATAATTTCTAAGAGTCCCGCAAAAAAATTGTTATCTATGGATTTGATAATGCACCATGAAACTTGGGTAGATTCCGATAGGCGTTGGTGTTCTTAGAGTGGGGGTGAAAATGGATGATTTTGGTGTAAAAAGATCATCAAATCAGACACCTCAGTGGCCCATAGTTGAGAAGCTGAGCTCTGCAGGAGAAATCTTGGCACAGCACCTGTCTCCAATAAAATCGGAAGAACATAACCCCTCATGGTGTCATACGTTCTTGGGAATACCAAGCATCCTCCAACATGCGTCAAGTGAATTATGCATGTGTTGTTTTAAGAGAGTTAATTTCTGACTCTCCTACATCTTACGCTGGACATCGATGGGCTCAGGAACTGGGTGGAGAGACGTCATCGGAGTAGTTAGTCGATTGCTAATGTGCCAGCGCCTGATATGTTTATCTACCAGTACTCTGCTTTCCAGAAGGCGAGGGGCCACCGTGTCTGTATTTCTTGTCGGAAAGACAGCTATAATTAACTCACGACTGAGCTCTAGTGGACTTCTCGGGCGTCTGCTTGCGCACCATAGGAAGTTAGGGGGAAGTCAGGCTCACTAAATGCGCAATTGGTAGTCCATACTGAGGCCTTTCATGCGAGACCGGGGATGTGTGTGGCCCGTGCGCATAAATTGGCATTGTGCTGTCCTGCTTTGACGTGATGGATGCATTACTAACAGCCGTTGAGCGAGAAAACCTACACAATACCAGCCAATCCCAGTCCCTCCCTGTAGAATACCAACCAACGTTTTCCGAATGCCAGCAAAATGCAACGTTTCACCCACAGCCAAGAAAATAACTCTTCAACTTCTAACTTCTAAGCAGGAAAACACAATCATGAAAAATCATGAAAAATCAAAATATTTTTTTCAAAAATAAACCAGCATTGAGTGTATTTATTGGTATTTTTCCTTTTTGAGGGGAAAGTCTTAGAGACATATTAGGAAGAGAAAATGTGATTTGTATGAAAAAAAGCGATTTCTTGAGGTGCTAAACAAGGTAATAAGCATTGTTTCAACAAAGTTTGGCGGGATGCCTACCCAAGCTTTTTCCTAAAAAGGAGATTTATTGACAAATTTTAAGTGATATAGGCTATGATATCTATATAATTATTGTAAAAGTTGACACGCTGGTATTGAAAAGGTTTCCCCGCCGTTGAGCACGACAATGCTTGCCGATTCCGAGGGTGTCCGAAAATCTTGGCATGCTTTAGGTGCAGTAGGCGCCAATATTTCCGGATACTTTTGGAATCGGCAGGCACCTCTTTGACTTGGTTAAGATAGCCGACTATCTGGCCATTGAAATTAGAGATGGGATTCGATAATGAGGGGGTAGAACTGCCCCAGCTCGCCCGGGTACGTTTAGTATTAGCACAATATGGAACATGAGGCACGCAACTCTCCTATGAGAGGGAGCCCTGGTATCCTTCGACTCTATTTCTCCATAAAGCCTCCATGTGGAATGAGAAAATTAACGCATCTATCTCGTGGAACCAGCTGCAACAGAAAACCCAGGCAGTAATATTCACTCTGTAAAAGAGGTTTATATTGGCTGAGAATACAAAGTTCGCGGGAACTACGTCCTCCTGATCAATGGACCATGAAGCAGCTTATGCAGGAGAACACGCTAAATTAAAGTGACCCTAGACACAACTGTGCGCTCTTCTATTCCGTAGTAGAATTTCCCTTCTGCACTCGATCATTGAAAACCCACACTAGGACTTGAAAGTGTATACACTAATTTCTTTGGTCCAATCCACAGGCCGTCTTCACATAAATACCTCTCTGGTGGCCAAAGCCCGCCATGAAAGTGCAATTTGGGAGCTCCTTGACTGGTGGTAGTACCGGTGGGCCGAAATGTTGCACACCTCTTAACCTTCCTAGATGGAGGGAAAGACTGAGACCGCCCGGGTAATGGTGTATCGTAAACCTGCTCACACCTATACCAAAGTGCGCATCGCCGAGGCATGGAATGTTGATTCCCAGAAGATAGTCACTTGCACTTAAGTTTTTTTTCCCTTTCAGCTAAAACCCACGAAGCCTTTCTTCGTACCCCTTCAAAAATCAGATTCCCATACCCCTCTTCCCTCGATTTTATTCCTATAGAGCTGTCAAACTGCCGTAACTAACTAAAACCTGGCCATATCTCGACGGTGAGATTCCCCCAACCTTCCCAGTTGGTAAGCCGCAAAGCAAACCAGCACCTCCCCCGAACGTGTCCACTGTTCCATCAATCCAGCTCCTCTCGTAAAGAATTTTTGTGTACAATATACGGATCTGGGCTGTGTTATATTACTAATTTGTGGCAGCTAGGGATTGCACAAGAGGCTAGTGGCGTAAGGATTGAGTTTGTTGTGCCTGGCGTTCCGGATATCGTAGTTCTGACTGTCGCAAATGCCCTCAAGGCATATATCTGCCGCAATTTGGGGGGTCGTGCTAAAGAGCGCCCGGACAGCGCACTTTAGAGGCATAATTTGGTTAGCCAAAATAAATTGGTTCCGACCCATTGGTTCGAACCCCCGTACAACCTGAGAGGAACTGGCCTTTTTCCTTGCAGATCTCCCAAGAATTAAAACCAAACAAGATTCTGAAGTGTGTCAGTGGTTGGTTGCATCCATAATTCCTGCGTGGTCTGGGGTGAATATCAGCGAAGGTCTTGAAAACACCTGCAGGACGACGCACAAAGCACCCTACCCTCTTGGTGTGCGGTTATACTAAAGTGAATTATCTTCCACGTCGCTCACGATACCTCACCTTCAAGGGAGATGTGTGGTGGAAGAGTTTGCCGCGACACAACTCTGCTTGTTGGTAGGTGGTGGGCCTGAGTGTGGTGGCGTAGGGAGCCTTTTTTTTTTTTGGTGGGATAGTCTATCGCAATAAACAGGAGGTGAGATAAATGCCTAAGTAAGTTTTGATGTGTGACCTTGGGCGTTATATGTCTCTTGCCTTAGTTTGAATGGAGAAAAGTGTTCAATCATTGAATGCCACAACTTTGCCTACTCTCCATGACATCGGAACCTCCGCTAGTGCACTGCCCCGCTCCATTCAGGACCACGTAGGATTAAGGCGGGACGTCATGAGCTAATAACAGGGTGGGTGCAAAAGGAAGGGGAAGCAAGATGTAGCCCCACGCGAGAGTCGAACCAGCAACCTTGAGATTAAGAGTCTCACACTCTACTGATTGAGCTAGCGAGGCCTATCAAGAAATAGAAAGTCAAGAATAATAGGAATGAATAATAATAATGCTAGTAACAGACGCAGAAACCCATCTACCAGAGCGGGAATCAAGAATTCTCATGAAACCAGCATTGCCAAAGAGAATCAACAAAACAAAACCAAATAAAAGGTCGAAGACACGCATATCCACCTCACCGAAGGATCAGAGCTAGGTGTTCCAACACATCTTCCCATGGTAACTAAAGCCAACAACCAACGTGCATATCGGTCGCTCATCAGTGCGGCGCAGGAGCCAAGTTGGCCACCAGCGGCCCCGAGGCTGCTTGCGAAACCGGTGGGATGAAAGCGGGATTGTTTTGCTTTCGCATCGTATACTTGTCGAGTCGCACCTTTATCTGACGACCTTTAAAGAATTGCTGATCGAACATATAGCACGCCCTCTGCGCTCCTTCCGCCGACGAGAATAAAGCCGTGCCATACCCCCGGCCTCGCCCATCGGTCTGCGGCACATCGCACCTCTCCAAATGGCCCGCTGGTTCTAAAAATCCTTTCAACTCCTGCCATTGGGTGTCATAGGCTAGGTTACCTACGAACACTCCACGGGATTCAGTGATTAATGCTCCATTGGTAAGGTTTACCGGAAGCCCTCGATCAGGAGTGACAAAAATGGGAGCGGGCTCAATAGTAGAATAATATGGGTTTATCGCTACCATAACCTGTTCGTTCCCAGGAATCGGTGGGTGATACCCGAAACCAGATGCTGACATCTGTACCGCGGGGGGAGGCCCATACACTGGTGACTGGAATAGCGGGAAGGCTGGCGCTTGTCTTTCGTTGCTTATTTTTCGTTTATAGGAAGCATCAACATGCCCCTTAGACAAAAGATAAGCAACGAAAGCCTGGTTCTGGGCCCTGACCCTACCCTCATTATGTGCTTGTTCTGCCCACTGGTGTTCAACCACCAGTGGGTAGTAATCTCCACCCCACGTACGTACAGTGTCAGCCTGGATCCGGTGGTGCTCAGCTTGAATCCCGTGGTTCACAGAACGTGCCTCATAGTGAAGATATGCCCGTGCCGCGATACCCTGGCGGTAGAAGGCAGCCTCGGCGGGAGATATGCCCGGTGAAAATATAGATTCCATCCCTGTCTGATCTAGGTATTCCGCTGGGAGTTCTGGTTCCATTACGAATGGTGGTCCGGGTATCAGCCTGTTTGCGACTGGCCACGGCGCTACTGGAGCCACCGGGGGACTTGAAACTGGTAGAGAACCCGGGCTACTTGAACCCTCAGCCGTCGGACACATGTCGTGTTCATTGCCCAATTTCACCATGAGTGCCCTTGCTTCCCACTCATATCCGTCTAAATTGGCTTTATGTTCGACACCCCCTCGTTAGTGATCAATAGTTTTAAGCTCGCCTTGCAACACAATCGATAGAGTCACGAACCCACTACTTTCATTGCCTCTTCCCTCCCTCTAACCCTTGCGTACCCAAACCCTCTAGATCGTCCGTCAGGAGTGAGGTAAATCTCAGCCCTCTCAATGTTCGCGGTGTGTTTCCGAACGAGGTCCTTCAGATCTTGCCACCTAACTTTCCAGGGCAGCTATTGATCCGATAGTCAGCTCGTTAAAATATATATTGTACTGCTAAAGAGGATGTACATTGCCGAAAAGAACTATGTATCCCTCGTGTGTGCTCTCTGCCCGCCTCTGCATTACAATGTTTCCCATAGTAGTTGAATTATCGGTAGTCGCGTTTTCGTCTTGAGGGTACGGGAATCGATCGACTATCTCCATGCAGTAACTCGAAGGGTAAACCGTCGAAGGTACTCGGGTCGGTTGAGATCTCCGATGAAAATTGACTAGCAATTTACTAGGAGTGAGCTAGTATGCCAATACTAAAGCATCCAGGGTGGTTCCCGGCTGTATATAACGTTCCTACAAGAACTGCAGTCCAAAAAAAAAAGAAAAGAAAAAGAAAAGATTCCTGTCTTCAACCAAAAACTGGGCTATGAAAAAGTTCAACGTGAACTAGCAGGTTGTTATCCAGGAAGTGTGAGCCACTAGGAATGCAACAGCTCCGATTAAAGCATGTGGAGGGAAGGATTAGTGAATGGATGCACTGACCATCCCGCCACCGCATAGCTGCGGTTTTCGCCGCGGGCTAGCTCTTGGACGCAAAATGGGGAGGACAATTCCTTTCTGTCTTTGCTCTAATTTTAGCTGCGAGCTTCTCCCAGTGAGTGGGATACGGTAGCCGTCAGGACCAGACCCATTCAGTATCGTACCGTTCCCACTTCCTGTACTCGAGTACTTGCTTCACCCACACAGTTGATTGAATAACCATATCGGGGATCTGTTCTGTTAGTTTTGTCTGAGTTCTGTCTCATTTCATGTGCGATCCTGCAGCGTTGCCAGCCTCACCCTCTGCAAGTGATTCATAAGGGCTCTATGGTTTTAGTATGATAGCACATCAAATGTTTGCTTCAACGGATTTGTATTCAAGTAGAGGGTTATGAGATGCTCTGATAGGTTCTATTTTATACGATACCGTAGGTCGCAAAAATTTGAAATCTTCCGATCCCAAGGCACATCAAGCGGGGATACTGATCGAACGCTCCTTCCCGCCAGACATTAAGTCCCATTTCGTTACATGCGTTGTCTCACCGATAGCCTTGAAATTGAAGGCAAATCATAAACAACAGCTGAAACTCTAGAGCCCACACCCGTGTAGACCTAACAGTGGCTCGTGTGTTCCCCCCTTTCAAAACCTATAGGTGCAGGGAACCAGTATGGCACTGAATGGCATCTGGAGGGTAGAACCTAACTTTGACTACGGCGGAGCGTTCATGTCACTAGCTCAGGGCTACCGTACCATTGCCTATCGTAATCTGGGGCTCTGCGAACCGCCGGCGGATATCTGGCGTCATAATCAGGCGTACTACTATACCAGTACAGTATATGTTAATCCCTGAAAACTATCCTGGATTGCAGGATATTGAAGTATTGCGGAAATTTCTTTAGTCGGCGGACATCTCTGCGCGCCCAGCAATTACCCAGCATTATACGGGAACCACAAAGTACGAAATTCGTAGTACCGTATTGCTATGCAAATGGAAATTCAGCGCATTTTGTACAGTATCATACCTCTCTACTCGGCAATCGAATCGTGAGTTACGGCTATTTCCACAAACTTGGGTTACCTGTTGAGACACGGGTTATACCATAACCAGGTCACTTTCTTTTTCCCCTTCCAGCCGCCAGCAGCGAACCCAAATAATTACCCAGCGCAATACTCGTATCTCTACGACCCTGCATCAGCCAGCCTATCCTACTCGTGAAGCACAAGTAATAAGTGAGATAATTTGTCTAGCTTCTCAACCTTTTCCAGTGAACAAGCGAGGCCGACCCCGGTAACTGGGCAGTGCGGCTGCTCCCTTCCGATATCCTCCCAACAAGAGATAGCTTTGGGATGGGAGTCCAGGGTTTTCCTGCATCCAGGAGTCTAGGCACGGGTATTGCCGTGAGACATCCGGAGGGCCCGTACTTGTAGCCATAGGTAGGGGCTTAAATATTTACCATTGATTGGCCTTCTGTACCGGGATTCGATGGGATGTCAAGGAACTGCTTGGAACGAGCACGCGGGAGATTAAACTAGGGCCAAGGCCGAGCGTGTCTAGGCTCTGCAAACCATCAAAATTTCTGGATTCTGGGCTGGTCAACTCTAATCCTCGTCTCCAGACACTCTATACTATTAAGTTGTCCACCGTTAAATACCCGCCATATGTAAAAACGCCTCTGCAAATAACACTCCTTGATTTTTTTTGGGTCGCCGGGCGACTCCGGGCAGGACAGTACGCGGGGGGGTCATTTAACTTAAAAGGGTACAGTACGATTTCTACAGTATTATACTATGGAGAAATTCAGGAACAGGTCAATAGGTGACTGAAGGACCATAGCTCAATTGAATGGCGAGCAAAGTAAAGTTTATAATGGTATTTCCCGGCCTCATGTACAATACTCGAGTACTGGCGTATTCCCCAAGGAATTTGTTGCGATCCACCCTTATCCACGGGCTGGGGAATAACTTTAACTAAATAACCTTGCCCCGAAACCTTGGTTCGAACTAGACCATCGCAAGCTGTATACCGGATAGGCGGTAGATAAAACCTTCAAGGGCAGGTGAGCCCCCACAAAATACCATCACCCAATCGATAACAGCCAGGTAATAATTTTGCCACAAATATGGCGTATGACACGATTCCTCTGCCCTCAGTAGACTCCAGTATCATATTTTCTATGTTTCAGCATCTACCCGGTGGCGTCGAGTTCAGGATCGTACTGCTACTATGAGACACCGCAAAGTTACACCTCCAGTGAGACGCCTTCCAGTTCGCCTTTCACCATTTGCACTCGAGGGATATGCGCAACAACCCAATTAAAATTTTGCTGGATCAGAAGCAAACTTTGCAGCTACCGTCCATCCCCAGCCCAACGGCCCCCAAAATTTGATACAGTGCGAATTAAAAGTTTTCTTGAATACACGATTTTTTAGATACTAATCACATACGCCCATTATTGAGATATGAGGATCTATGTATAAAAAGTTAAGTTGTACCATATCCAATACCCGACACGAGTGGTCTAAGATAAGGTCGGAGGGGCGAAAGGAATGAACTAGGGCACGTAAGCGCTACGCCCGACTATCTTAGAAAACAATCAAGACCCACTTATGTAACATTTAGTTCCCTCTCGTGGGGACCTACTTGGCCTCGATCGCACAGTGCTAAAGTGCCTCACCGAGCAACACAAGAAGTAGTCATGGGCCGTCACTCGTAAGATCAGAGGTTTGCCTGCGGTAGTCATGTCTCACTTCCTACTTCCACTATTTCGTCCTATTACCCAGGACTACGCTGTCGATTTTCTGTCGTCAATCCTGCATGCATAGCATTCTTGATCAGGGGGAAGATATCCCGATAGCCAGCTAAGGACACTGACCTGGCTGTTTCCCCTTTGCCTA